ACTTTTTTTTGAAATCTTATGATTCGTGTACAATTTTTGAAGACTTTATGTTGGTGCATTTTAGTTGAGCTATTTCTCGATTTTGTGACAGGTGTCTTGTTGTCGCTTCCGAAAAATGGAGAGTCCAACAGTTCATTCTAAGGAGCTTCCAAACAGCTGATAGATTTTCTTGGCGAACTTTTTGTATATTCATATCAGAGATATACTCGAAGTGGTTGCTACTCTCAGCTGAGAAGTGACCGTAATTAGAAAAATTTATTTTCTATAATTTTAGATAGGTCTCGAGCCTTGGCCATCTGAATGATGGTACACAATACCAACCCCTCGGCTTTTACGTTCATAAAAGTTTTGAAAAGTGCAAAATATCGGACCTTCTAAGAAATTCTAAAAACTAGTCACATGGTCCTGGCCATACAAATCCGACAAATGTTACAAAAAAACATTTAATAGCTCAGTATGAGAATATAAATTTTTTAAAATTTTTCGAAAAATTTTTTTACTTTGCCATTGTCAAAAGCTCAAGAATATAATAATAACATTTCCCTGCTTTTGCCATAATTCTCTGGCCAGGTGTGAAAGCTGTCTAATTTAACGTTATTTATATGTTTACTGTTAGCAAAGAAATGCCAACATTTTTATTTAATTTCGTTATGCTTACAAAATCAACCTCCACTCTTTTATTTTTTTATTTTTATTATACATTTTTTTTAGTCATACAATTCGTTCTCTTATGCCTGTGACTGTGTCCATTAGTAAATCTCTTTATTGACACGTTTAAGTATAATTTTTGCTTAAACGCGAGACTTAAGTGTGCATGTAATTTTCAACCGCTTCGTACCTTCAAGCTATTATTATGATAATTATTGTCATCACCAATTGTTTGTGTGTGCTTGCGCTAGTTCTTTCACCTTTTTGGACGTGATTTAGTTTGTAGAACTCTTTTGTGTTCACAATTTTATTACCATTATGAGTCTGTGTATGCGTGTCTGTGTGTGCGTGTGTGTTTGTGGATTTATTACTTTGGTCTTGAATGTCTCCATACAATTGAAAGAACAGCTGAAGACATTTTATTTATTTTTTATTTATTTAAATGTAAAAAAAATTGCACGTGGGGTGTTAAGAAATATATTCATAGCACTCCCACATTTTTCATATTTTTATTATTGGATATTTGTCAAATGCCATGTCAAGTTGTTCTTACATAAGGAAACATTGTCATATGTAGATGGCCAGTGGACGTTCGCAGCCTTTGACCATAAAATAAGCCTGGTCGGTTTATTAAAAAATTAGTTTGATTTTAGCTTCCGGGAGTTCCATCTACTTCTGTCCGCAGCTGCTACAAGAATGCGAATTTGAGAATTTATGGATAAAATAATTGTATTATCAACATTTAATGAACGGTAGTCATCACTTGATAATTCATTTATTAGAATCAAGTAAGAATCAAATTCTACATATATAAAATCTGAGTCCTTACAATTCTACAAGACAGTTATAAAATTGAGTACTAAACCCACTTGATTATGATTCTGATGAAAATTTTTTCTTTGAATTGTTGGTATAGCTACTTTCTTAATTTGAATACAATTGTATCGGCGTAACTTCAAAATCTTAGACGTAGATAATAAAATAAAAATTAAAATATATAGAATTATTAATTATAAATTGTTAATAATGATTAAGGTTGTTTGTTTAAATTCATGTGGGTTGGGTGTTAATGTGATTGCCGTTGGAATAGGTTACCGCCATTTTGTATTTTTCAAATATTTTTTATAAAAATCCCTTTACCGACGGCAGTCAAAATGCTGGCGGAAAAAATTAGTTAAATCCACGTGGTGAGAGACAGATTTGCAGAACTGCCAGCAACTTTTTAAAGCGCTGTCGGCCGCTCTCAGCTCTTTGCGGCCTAAAATCAACCATCGAACCATAGGTAGATTTTTGAAAATTTAACTCTACCTTTCCTGCCTTCTTTACCATGGCGCTATGAGTTTTTTAGCGCAGAATTGTGGCTCAGATCGAGCCTCTGTGTAACTTTTTTCGAATTTTTGTAACAAAATAAATTCATAAAAGCCTTATTTGTAGGTTATTAGTTGGAAGAAGATTTAACTCAGATGGTGCGGATTGTTTCCTTCTCGCTTTTTGAAAACGCAACTTTTGCGGTGGCATGCGTAATGATGTGGCGCGCAATTTCTTCAAAAAAACTTTGGAAATCCGATTTTGCCCACATTGAAGGAATAGCAGAGACCTCTTCTTTGCACTCCATAGCAGTTATCTTTCAATTCTAGTTTCCAATCATGAAAAATATTTAAATATGAGCTCTTTAACTTGCCTAAGTTTCTTTTATTTAAGTTAAGCTGCTCACTAAACTCAAACAGATCAGGAGTAACTTTCGTTTGAATTCATAAGATCTTGTGCTATTTAATAGTTCCAGAATACACTCGCGATCGGTCATGCCTGTCGAAAGAATCTACTGAAATTCAGTATATGCCACGATAGTCAGCTATTCATGATGTGGCAAGAACTGTGATACCAAACAAATCCAACCCCCAACGATTTAGATGCTTAAGAGCTTACCCGCGTTGAAGCCTTCCCAAACCAATTTGGGGAATATGTGTGTGGTTAATTTTGTGTTCTGATTTTTCGAAGCGAAAATTAGCGAAAAACAATCGAGCAAGAGATACAAATAGCTCTGTTTTAAGCAAAGCTTTAAACCAAGAGTGTGGTAGGACCGCTTAGACTGCACAATTCGACTAAAACTTCTTCAAGAGTCAATGCTTTCAAAATAAAAGCTGAAATATAGTATGACTTTAATATATTTTCAAGAAGGAATAAAAATTTGGAGATCTGACTAAAGTAAATGTTTCAATTTATAAGAGCATATCTCTCTAATACGCCTTGGGTAAGCTGTTATGATCTCTCTTTACTCTTGAACATATACAAGTATCTTAGGGTTAAGGGTTCGAGGAGTCATAGTCATTCATGGACATGAAACATTTGAGCTAGAAAAAAAGGTTTTTATTTATTTAATGGATTTGACTGCGGAATAAGCTGATCGGGGGTGACTCCCAAGCCTGCTCTGAAATATAGAAACACAAGATCTTTAACTCGACGGCAAGAGACAAACAATCGTACACTACAACTTCTCTTGAGGACCATTGCCGGTAGCGTACTGATGTCGTATTTACAGCATTTCCTTATCCATGCTACCACTTAAAGAGCATAGTAAATTGCTGGGCGATCAGAATCTACGAGAGTCATCTTCGTAGACACCTGTACTACCTACGAGGCACATCAGCAGCAAAGTATTTGACTTAACGGGATCTATTCAGTATCAGATGATAGCTGAGCGCTACTGTAACTAGGCCACAAGCACAATTCATATAGAGTCTATCAACATCTTCACTAGATTGTCCCTTGCGACATAGAGCAATCATTTTTTATTCTCGTCCATTTATACATTTGGCGCTTTCTTGACCTAAACATTCCTAAAAATTAAAATGAAGTTGCCTACAGTACTAAACCGCCTTGCTGGAAAAAGTAATATCAGCTGCAGAGCTGAATAGAGAAGGAGCAATCTTTTATAAGAGTGGAGCGTCGCTGGCGTACGCCGATGATATTGACATTATTGGCCTCAACAATTGTGCCATGAGATCTGCATTCTCCAGACTGGATAAAGAAGCGAATCGAATGGGTATGGTAGTGAACGAGATCAAGACGAAATATCTCCTGTCATCAAACAAACGTTTCGTGTCACTGTCGACAGTCATAACTCTGAAGATGTAGATAACTTCGCCTACTTAGGAACCAGTATTAACACCTACAAGATTGTTAGCCTGGAAATCCACGCCGAATAACTCTTGCTAACAGATGCGACTTCTGACTGAGTAGGCAAATGAAAAGGAAAGTGCTCTCTCGATGAACATAGAGCAAACTTCACAAGTCGCTTATTGTTCCCGTTCTGCCACAATGGTAAGATCAATGGTAAGATCATGTGGTTTCAAGGGATAAAAAAATACTCCAACTTTGAAAGTTTTTGAAGCAATACCCGTCGGTGGAAACATAGGAAGAGAAATACTTATACTTCGTTGAAAAGATCAGTTCGAGAAGGACCTGACTGTACTTTCTTCTTTTCGCAAATTGGGTCCAAACAGCGAAAAGAATAGATATATGGCTCAGTGTGGTTAACTCGGCTAAAATCGCCTAAGCAATGTCTCCGCTAGTAAAAAAGAAGAATGATTTAAGATATGTACTCGAAACAGCTGACATTCCCTGCCGTGGAGCGAGCGCAATTATTATTAATTTATATTTTAAATGAATTTTTCTGGTCCGAATACATTTTCTCGAAGTGAAATGAAGCAGATTTTTTAGATTTATGAAATTAAAATTATGTAACTCTGGTAAAAAGGAGTTCTACAACCTCTTTTGCTTCTTGATACTATTATGAGAACCTTTTTTTGTTTTATTTTCAGATTCTGCATTTAACATTTACGAAGTCATCATATTTTCTGCTATTAAATTCAATTGGTTCACATATTTTGTTATCTACCTACATACACACATATTTGTAACTATTTTGTATTCATAATCCATTCAGGCAGCATTTAGCCAAAAGATTGATTGTTTTGTTACCAGCACCGAGTCATTATCATCACAACAACGTACGTACAATACAAACAGACATATGTAAATATGTTTATATGCAGATGTGCCGTTTTATAAATTATAGTTCTATCGCTGCTTTTTATTATTCATTATATTTGTTCATATGTTTTCTACATACATATATACACCTTTTTATATATGTAAGTAAGTATATATGTAAATTGCTTTCATTATATGTGGATGTTAAAGCATTGTGTTGTGTTGCCGATCTTGATTTGTCGACTCCATTTTTCTACCTTAATTCTTGTTTTTACATATTGTCAAGCACTGGCAACTGTTATTGTTGTTGTTTTTCTTTTCTTTTTTTAATATATATTTGTTGTTGCTTTTGTTGTTACCATGCTTTGGTAATTCGTTGTTGTTACTGCATTATTACGGTTTCGTAATCGCAGCTTAAAAAACCAGCGCGCTCAACAACACAATTATTTTCGTTACGGTTCTTCTGGTTCGTTGTTCGCTAAACACATTCTCAAACGTACATATGTATATATGTAGACAACACTCCACACCACAGTGCGACTATGCGGCTATGTGGCCAGCCGCACGACACTTGGCGTGGCCTGACATTTGGCTAAGCGGACAAAACGCGACCGCACTATGCCGCGCTGCGCCGCGCGCTACTACTACTAATCGTGCGCCGCCGATCAGCACCCGCAAAAACGAAACAGCGACAACAACAGCTATGCTTGTCGATGAGGTAACAATAAAGCTTTGCAAAAAAAAGCCGACCATTAATAACAACAGCAACAAAACTAATAGTAATACAGAGCGCCAGCAGCGCGCAGCTACACCTGTTGCATTGACTCGCGCGCTGTGGCCTTTTTTACTTCTTTCTTTGCCGCGCGCTGATAATTTACCTCTAATTCAACTATGCGCTTTTATCGAACACACACTCTTGCACAAGCATATAATGTATTTTCACTTGTAATCCACTCTGGTTGATATGTAATTCTTACACGATTAGCGAAGGCGCGCGCGCATTTCAATTTGTACTAAACTAATGAGCGTGCGGTGTGGTTGGGCTGTGAATGAATACTCATGTGCCGCCGTAATTATACGGATATATATGCACACGCGATTTAACATATTTCTGTATCATATAAGGGTGTTTGTGCAATCACACCTCAAAAACAAAAGAACGTAAGAAGACGTAGACGCGCCGTCGCAAATCAACGCTACGGCGTAGTTGGTAAAAGTGTTTTGTATAGGAAGTCAAGAAAGAGGCAACGAAAACTACGAAAACAGCACTTGACTGCCATTCACGCTGACACACTGTAAGAAACTGAAAAGCTCAACTCAAAGTAAGCGCTGGTGAAGCTATCATCACCACAAACACTCTAGTCGCTCGGCGTCGTATGCCGCTTTGTTCACGTCAAATTGAACACAGAAAAGTGGTGCGCTGCGGCGTAAAGAGGGAAATGTTGCGCTGTGTTATGTTGTGTTGTGTTGTGTTGCGGTGTGGTCGCAGTTTGGCCAAAAGCGTTGAAGAGCCTTCTGCGGCCTCGCAAGTTAGTTCGAACTGGCTATGCGAATGTATTGACTCGACTCAACGCGCCGACAATTGTACTTAGCAAAAGCATAGCTAAACAAAGCGTAGCTAGAGCATACGCGAAGGCATGCAAGCGTTCAACATTTAAGCGCATGAGCGTGTGAGCAAGCTTTGAAGGTAGCGCACGACCGCGCGTTTGTTATGTTGAACGATTTTGAATGCGCTGGCGCTAGAGCTGTTGCGGCTGCCGTCGTCGACTTTAAAGCTAACGAAGCTACAAACGTTATGCTCAGCAATCAGGCAAGCAGTAAGCGATTTGTAAGTTGCAGGTTATCTACTGTTATTTAGCCACTATATTTCTTCTACTGCTTGCTGGGCAGCTCAAGTGGTGGTTCTGTTGCAGCGCTGATGTGTTGATATGCCGTTGTCATACTGGCTTTTGTTGTTAATTTTGAAGTTGTTGTCGGTTTTAGTTCCACGGTTTTTTTCTTCACATTGTCATTTATTTCGCTTAACTTTAGAGTTCATGCTTCGTTTTCTTTGTGTTTAATGTCTCTGTAAATTGCACGTTTCCCCTTTTCGTGTTTTCTTTTCGTCTTTGGTTTTCCAAATGAAAATATAAAAGAAATGGAAACTCTCTCACATTTGAGTTGAACTTGCTGGCGTCTTTTACCGTAAAATTCGTTACACTTGTGTCGATCGCGTTGCGGAATTTCAGTTTGTAATCTAATGAAAGCGGAAATTATTTTAAATATAAAAAAGCACATATTACTTTTATTAACTGCATATTTTATTTATTTGCTTCTTTTTTGTTGTTGGATCAGCTCTTTAACTCGAGTTAATATTTTTAGTATTTGTTTTGCGGAGCCTTAAAAAATTAGATCAATAAAAACCCAACCAGAACCTCAGATGAGAACTTGCAATATTGAGGGCCATAACCGGGAGCATACTAAGAGCTGGAAACGTGCCGTTGTCATTATCTACGAGAAACAACGGCTATGGGAAAGAGCGAAGAGCTATTCATCGATCATTAATACATTTATGTCGGTGCAATAATAGAGTCATTATGACCGAGTTGTTACTACCATGCCGAAGGCCAGAGCTGTAGTCCAACCAACCTTCCAAAATTATAAAAAATTTATTTTTCTAATTGCGGGCGCCCGTCGAAAATGTCAAATCCTCGGCGTATATTTCTGACATGAAGAAAAAGCTCCTCATTAAAATCCATCGACCTTTCGAATGGAAAAACATCAAGACACATACCACAACTGAAAGAAGAAGTTAAGCCGAAATTTGCTTCAGCGGGGACAAGGCACCAATTATATAAATATTTGGATTTGGATTTGTTGAGGGAGCGAGACTCTATCCCCAAGTACTATGCTCCATTCTGATAAACAAAAATTTCGGTACAAGCCGATTTAAAGCTATTTTCTTTTCTTGCTTTGCGGCCTCACCCGACGGAAAAGGACATTTCTGAAGTATTTTAGATATACATACTCCCCGAGGTTCAATTACACTTACTTATTTTGGTGCATTAAAAAACATTCGTAAATAAAAATATTGAAAACTCGACGTAGAAACGTTAAAATCCCAATAAATAGGCAGAATGTTTGGTGGTCCTGAGCAATGTCGAGATGTCGTAAAGATTGTCAAGATCGGCCACGACACGTGCAGGGATACCGAAAAAGGAACAGGCCAAAATGCGTGAGTATGAGTATATGTAAATCGGTTATGAAAAGTTTGAGAAGCAGACCAGCAGAGGTAATGGCGACGCAAGTTTAACACCCGGAAATGACAAAGCCGACTGCCCAATCGTCTATGATGGAAAAGATGTTCGAAAACTCAACAATGACGAAGTTCGAATAGCGATTGCGCGCTTAAAGCATAAAAAAGCAGCGACCGATTGAACCTTATCCGTGTGGCTTTAGATATATTCTCTACGTGTCCAATCTTCTCTAAAGACCCTTGAGACAAAAATTGATACATTATCAGTTCCATCGAAATTAAAGCTAGCTTTGACAAGCTACAAAACTGATATGCCGATGTAAACTGGCGCTGGACAATACCGAAAGCGTAGTAAGAATTCAGAAAGACCTCTCCAAGCCGTTAGATACGAAAAGAGGTGTCTGACAAGATCACTTTTTTCGAGCACGTCCTTCAATTGGATTTAATATAATCTGCAGTGTACGCCGATGATATTGACATTATTGCTCTCAACAACCGCGCAGTTAGTTCTGTTCTCTCCAGCCTGGATAAGAAGGCTAATCGAATGGGTTTTGTAAAAAATGAGAGCAAAACGGAAATCCCCCTGTAATCAAACAAACAGTCAGTGAATTTGGGGTTCGGCTCTCCCGTCCCTGTTGATAACCGTAACTTAGACGTTGTAGCTGATCTCGTCTATCCAAAAACTAGCATTAACACCAATAACGATGCCAACCTAGAAATCCAATACAATTTTATGCTGCAGATTCTTCTTGCGACTGAGTACAATAATGCTCTCTTACTACAAATAGACTACTCATTACTACCGTTCTATTTTATGCTGCAGAAGCATGGATAACGTGAACACCTAATCACTCCGTAGGGGTGACGACGTTTGCTGTAAATGATGGAACAACGGTTTATATCTGCCAGCTACACTTTAGCTCAGGTGAGTGGGAGAATACGAATGACGTCGCCACCGTGAGCTCACCTTCCATCCACTGAAACTATTTCGAAAAAAAAAGGAGTTTGCACTTATTTAATTGCTGAGGAACCAAAGATAAGCCAGAAAACCGTTTGGAACAATTTGCATCAACTTGGATTCAAAAAGGAGCTCGATGTTTGGGTGCCACACGAACTAACGCAAAAAAACATGTTGGACCGAATTTCCATCTGCAAATCGCTGCTGAATCGCAACAAAATCGACTCGTTTCTGAAGCGGATTGTGACTGGCGATGAAAAATGGGTCACTTACGACAACATCGAGCACAAACGCTCATGGTCAAAGCTCGGGCAAGAGGCCCAGACGGTGGTCAAGAGCGGATTGACGGCCAGGAAGATTTTACTATGTGTTTGGTGGGATTGACAAGGAATCATCTACTACGAGCTGCTCCCCTATGACCAAACGCTCAATTCGGCTTTCTAATGCCAACAAATGGACCGCTTGAAGGCAGCACTCATCCAAAAGAAGTCATCTTTGACCAACAGAGGCCGAATTGTGTTCCATCAGGGCAACGCCAGGCCACACTCGTATTTGGTGACGCGCCAGAAGCTCCAGGAGCCAGGAGGATGGCAAGTTCTAATACACTCATCGTATAGTCCGGACCTGGTACCAAGTGATTATAATATTTTCCTGTCCATGGCGAACGCACTTAATGATGGGAAGTTGGCCTCAAGAGAGATGTGTTGAAACAACTCTTGCTCTGAAAGTATTTGATACAGTACCTGATGGTGGAAACATAGAAAGAAGAGGATGTACGCTTTGTTTGAAAGGATCGGGTGAATTTAGAGCTGATTGCACTTGGTTTATCCAATTGGCAGCGAATGTTTTAAAAAAGAAAGTCTCCTCCTTTTTTCTTAGACTTTTTTAGGGCAAGACCTTTTGTATCCATTTAGTCGATCAAAACCCCATCTTCTCTGGTACATTTAATGTTAACCGAAACTAAGCGGCAAATGCAAATTCCGAGCATGCAAAGTCTGCAAACAAGCTCAATTGTAATTGTGTGTCATTCAAGGCACTTTAACTTTAACATTTAACTAAATAAAAGATTATTCTTATTTTTATTTTATTTGTTTACTTTTTGCCATTTTCATATTCACCGTAGTCACAGACGTCAAAACGGCTGCACAAATCGGCGGTTACCATATATGAATATGCAGCACGTAGTGTTAGTAGCAACAAAAACAACAGCAACATCACCATCAACTGAGCTCTTGAATGGGAATATGTATGTATGTATGTACAATGCATGTGGATATATTGTTGTTGTAGCGAGTAAAGTGGTGTTGGAAGCGGTGGCAAAGCAGCCAGCCTCGACTCTTGCGACTACGGTGAACGCCGCGGCGACTGTCAACGCCAGCACGCCAACGTGCAACATGCAACAACAGTAACTACAAGGACGCAGTCGACAGATATACCAATTGAATTTAACAAACATATGTACGAGGGGCGGCGGATAATGCCGCGACTTAAGATACAATAGTGAAAAAATGATGGGCTGTTTCAACAAGGAAGAGAGACCTGTAAATAAGATCACCGTCCGAGGCGCCCAGTAACGGTCGTGATCGAAGAAAATGTTCAGAAAGTCGAGAAATCAGTACGAACTGAACGAAGAACTCATTTGTGACAGATGGCAGCAGGACTACAGATTAGCAATGAACAAGCCGGAGAGATTTTTCATGAACATTTGAATATGAAAAAATTAGGGCGCGTTGTAACTGTTAATGGAACTTGTATTCGTCAGTGCGATTCCGAGTCTAAACTGGAGTCGATGTGGTGGATAACAAAAGAAAAAGAAATTCAAATTGGAAAAGGAACTGCAATGAACGGTCAGTATTATGCTAATTTGTTGAGTCAGGTGCGTACAGAAGAGGCATGACAGGTACCTGCTCATACCACTCGGTACCTGCTCATACCTCTCGGGTTGCAAGGGATACCTTAAAAGCTACTGGACTTACAGGAATGGACCATCCACCCTACTGTTCGGATCTGGCTCCCAGTGAGTTTTTCCTTTTTTTAATTTTAAAAAATGAGTTACGAGAAAGCGGCCGTAGAATACCAATTTTG